TGCTGATATAAAAGCACCTTATTTGTTTAAAGTTTTTGCAAACCACATTTATTGCACTTTTGTAGCAGTACATTTAAATCAAAAGTGCGCAATACACTACTTTAGAATTCATTATTCAATTTTGCGGGTAACAATGCGATTAATCGCGATTAATCGCAAGAAGATCATGCGATTAATCGCGATTAAATTTTTTAATCGTTGCCCAGCACTATAAAAAACACAATATTGACCCTCGTTCTGTTTTCTATCATGCGCTGCGCACGTTTGCGATGACGTAATATGCACGCAAACGCACCAGGGTTCGATAGAATCAAGTTGAGTGTGAAACCAGACCAACGCTGCGGGGGGTGCCGGGAACAAACACGCTCGGGCTCGGACCGCAGCAAACGAGCCCAGTGTAAAAGCCCCCTTAAAGTACCTAGATCAGGGGTCCTCAACTCTGGACCGCGAGATCCACTTTCCTGCAGAGTTTACTTCCAACTCTAATCAAACACACCCGGACAAGCTAATCAAGGTCTTCATTATTACTGCAACGTAACAGGTACACAGCAAAATCCCCAGTGTTAAATCAACACTGATCAGAGTACATATAGTCCAAATGTAAAGAGCATTAATAGTGTTCAAGTTAATGAGATAATTAAAGTGATTCATTAAGAGATGATTTAACATTAGTGATGAACACCTGCTGTTAACAAGCAGAATCAATGAAGAAAAGGGAAACACAAGAACTACAACTGACTTCAGCCACAGCCTTAGATATAATCAACTGAAGATAAAAGAAGACATTAAATCTCTGAATATCTCAGCAGAGGAGGATTAAACACACAAACGGCATTACCAGCTTCACTTATTACTAACCAGACTGACTTTATTTCTGCCATTCTTCTACAGAAGGTCTTATTGAGAAATAACAGAGGTTAAGATGTTGATGTTTTATTGGTAAAAATACAATGCCACCATTATGGAGATCAGTGTTTGCTTTTGTTGGGCTGTTGACCCTTTATTGCCTATGTTAGTTTATCATTGCAACAATGTATATAATGTTGTAAAGCAGTTAAGTCCGATAAAGTTAGCCATTTTTTTAATGATGATAGTTGTTTAATCCTCCTCTGCTGAGATCTTTTCAGTTGATTTCATCTAAGGCTGTTGCTGAAAAGTCAGTTGTAGTTGTGTTTCTCTTTTCTTTAGTCATTCTGCTTGTTAACAGCAGGTGTTCATCACTAATGCTCAAACATCCCTTAATTAATCAGTTAATTATCTCATTAAATTTACCACTTTTAACATTCTTTAGATTTGGACAATATGTACTCTGAGCAGTGTTGATTTAACACTGGGGATTTTGCTGTGTTCCTGTAAGGTGTAGTAATCATGAAGACCTTGATTAGCTTGTTCAGGTGAGTTTGATTAGGGTAGGAGGTAAACTCTGCAGGAAAGTGGATCTTGCGGTCCAGATTTGAGGACCCCTGATCTATTATATTTTAGATGATGCACTTAGGCCTTGTCCACACGGACACAGGTATTTTTATAACCGTTAATTTTTTTTTGCCCCGGTTCAGCCGTTCGTCCACATGGAAACGCAATATCAGGTCACTAAAAGAACATTTGAGGAACATCATAAAACACGTTCCTCTAACGTCAAGACAACTGGATATTTTTTACGTTCCCAGAACGAACACTGAATACTTGGAGAACATTCTCTTGGACAATACTTGGTAACAAAACTCTGTTAGCTGGGTAACCGCACTTTTAGACAGCTGTTGATATTTTTTCATTTGTAATTTTCTGTTTTATCATAACAGCATGAAAACATTTTTGTGTGACATTTAGTTATTTACTTTGTTTATTTGTTCATTGTAGAAATAACCTCTTATGCATAATCAGTATGCAGATATTGTGAAACCCTGCACAAATTAAAGGTGGAAAATATATTGGACGAATACTCCCTGAGAGCTGAAGTGGTTAAGACATATATACAAACAACATTCAGTGGGGCAATTCACAACATGGTGTCTTTTCTAAAATATGGCAACAATTTCCCTTTGATATACCAAACTTCTCCAAGTTCAGATACAATGTAAAATCAAAAGTAATATTTAGGAGACATTTTGGCATTGTGAGGAAATATACAGACACAGAAAACCTTTGCCGTTTCTTATGGATCTATTGTTGGGCCAGTGGTAAGTTCTTACACTTACATTTTCAGATCATAACAATAAAATAAATAACTAATTTTTTAACATTAACATTGTAACATAATTCAACTAACTATGCTCCTTGTTATCACATGCCATATATAAAAGAACCATTACAAAAAGGTTACATTAAAGATGCACTATGTAACTTTTCTGTTCAAAATTAACTAAATAGAAATAATGAGTCAATACATTATAAATCTTTCTTCCAAAACGTGTTTTTGTCTTATCCTGATTCACTAAGCCCGTTCTAAGTGTTTATATTTTAGATAGAGGGGGATTGGTTTTCACAGGAAATTGTGTATTTAGTCACTTTATGTTAACATTAAAGAGTACATTACATGAGAGTAGATGTTAAAACGTCATGCTGATTTGTACTCGGCTTTCGCCAAGATAAGCAGGGTGGTGATAAGGGTGGTGATGGCGCAGTGGATAAGACACATGCCTTTGGTGTGAGAGACCCGGGTTCGAATCCACTGTGAGACACCAGTGTGTCCCTGAGCAAGACACTTCACCCCTAGTTGCTCCAGAGGCGTGCGACCTCTGACATATATAGCAATTGTAAGTCGCTTTGGATAAAAGCGTCAGCTAAATGACTAAATGTAAATGTAAATGTAAGCAACACTAAGACGTAGCTTTACAGTAAACTATGCTTCTCTATCCATTTACGCTTCTTTCCATATGGTGGTGTGACTCCCCTTCTGTCCGTCGTTAACGGCTGCAGTGTACTTGGCGCGTCAGCACACACGACGGCTGCAACTACAGTGTGGTCTCCCTAGTGGACCAGCACGACAACCGTCTGGATTGAGCCAAGTAGGGGACATCTCTAGGGTCTTCAAGTGGGCACCTTCCGTCCTCAGTGTTTCGTCGACTAGCCCACGACACCTCAAGAGGGCTCGACAGTGACTCTGGCGTCCCAGAGTCACCCCCCTCCGTCCCCCTCTCAACTCAGCCCAGCTTACTGACCTCTACATCCCTCCTGCTGCTGAGACCTAACCACAATCTCACAATCTCTCCGCAACCCAACCAATCGCGCCAACCCGTTTGACTAAGGCTGTCGAGCCCCACTGGTGTGTTAATGCAGTTTCAGTGGCAACGGTTCCGTAAGGCATACCACCTACCACAAAACACAATATCTGCCCAACCCCCCGTCATTCACACAATATACACAGGAACGTAATGACTGTAAATACTATACAACTAGGGCTGGGCGATATATCGCATGCGATTGTTATGCGCATCTCGTCAGTAAAGCCGGTTCCTTGATTAGTAGTAAATCACCTTCACCTGCTTTCAGATGGAGCAGCATTTACTACAAAGAGCCGTAGTTAACTGACAAGCTGAGCCATATCGCACTAATATCGCGGACGTATCGCCAGCGATATTTAATGCGATATGGCTCAGCTTGTCAGTTAACTACAGCTCTTTGTACACAGCAAAAACTCCAGTGTTAAATGAACACACCTGGGAGTGTATATGAGTCCACACTCAAGAGTGTTAAAGTTAATGAGATAATTAAGTGATTAATTGAGTGATGATTGAGCATTATTGAAGACACCTAAAGCAGAATCACTGAAGTAGAAAATCTCAAATTGTAAGCCACCGTTATGGCGATCATTGTTTGCTTTAGTTGGGGTCTTGACCCTTATATTATTAACTTTAGATTTAGTTTGTCTGTTGTATCAGTTGTTCAACTGCCAGTTGAACAAAGAAAAAAAAAAAACATCTAATGGTGTTGGTTATATTATGACAATCATCATTAGAACTTCATGTTTGTGATTCATGCTGTTGGTTACAGCATAACTGTGATTCTGCATAAATATCCAAAATTTTAGATATAATTTGAAAGATTTCTTAAATGTTGTTTTTAAAAAAAAAATCATTCTTTTAGGCACACACAGACGTCAAGATTCAGTCAATGCATCTCAACAATGGTGACGAGCAGAATATTCAATTAGGGAAAAGTAAATTACATAGACAATTCAGATCATAATTTATTCATACCGCAATGCATGATGGGAGCCATTAATGAGTTGTGATTGGTGGCAGCCACTGCAACATTCATTATTATTGTCACCACTGTTGAGATTCACAGGCTGATTATTGATGTCCGTGTTTCTAAATAAATTCTTTTGAAAGTGTTTTTATAAGAATGATGTTTATTAAAAAAATTTGATTATAAGAAAATACTGATAATCATTTGTTGAGAATCACAAAACTGTTACTAACAAGATAAACCAAACTATTTCAAAAAGCTTCATTTTCAGATCACAGGGTGATTATACCAAAACATAACCAACACAGTCAGATCACACTTTTCTTTGTTCATTTAACTGTTATAAATCAATAACAGTAGACAAACAAAATTTAATTTAAATAAGTATAAGGGTCAAGAGCCCAACTAAAGCAAACACTCATCGCCATAACGGTGGCTTACAATTTGTGATTTTCTCCTTCAGTGATTCTGCTTGTTAACATCAGGTGTCTTCAATAACGCCCAATCATCACTAAATTAATCACTTAATTATCTCATTAACTTTAACACTCTTGAGTGTTAATTTAACACTCATATCTACATCATATCTTCCATCTGAAAACAGGTGAAGGGGATTTACTACTAATCAAGGAACCGGCTTTACTGAAGAGATGCGCATAACAATCGCATGCGATATATCGCCCAGCCCTATATACAACCTATACAAATAAACCAACAGACTCTTCAGGTTTTTCAAGAATTCTACGAAACCGTAGCGTGGCGGCCTGTAATATAAACGTCAAATCAAACTCAGATCACATGCATACGTGTTTTTGAGGGTTTCTAAATAACATTAATGAGACCTAAACATAAATAGTCACCAAAAACAAACTTGGATGAAGTCCAGCATTACACTAACCTGTAGAAGTATGACTGGTAGATGTTGTGGAAGTGATTGGCGGTAAAGGACCTGAAACAATAACATATGGAAATAGATGCTAAATTACTGTGTTTTTCATGAAGACAATTAATATGAGGCGCTTCTTTTGAAAACCACATTCCAGTTTGGCAACTCATTCATCTGTAGTAGTGGGACTAGTAGATGTTGTGGAAGTGACCATGTGTAAAGGAACTGAACCAACACAACCAATAAAAGACAGAAACAGAAACAGAGTTTAAATCTGACTCAGATGCTGAAGTACTGCAGTAGTGGGACTGATGTAAAATTTACGAGAAGAGATGCCAAGTCATATTTTAAGGAAGTTCTGTGTTCTTCATGAAGACATTAACTATGGAGGGTTGCATTTTAATATCACAGTCCATTTCAGCATCATCCTCACCAGTAGATGTAGAACTAGTAGATGTTGTAGAAGTGACTGGGTGTAAAGAAACTTGAACAGTAACAGATGGAAACAGATGTTAGATCAGACTCAGATGCTGAAATACTGTGTTCTTCATGAACACAATAATTAAGAAGAGCTGCTTTTGAAAGCTAAATTCCAGATTGGCAGCACATTCACCTGTGGGACTAGTATATGTTGTGGAAGTGACCATGTGTAAAGGAACTGAAACAATACAAGACAGAAACGGAAACCAAGTTTAAATCAGACTCAGATGCTGAATTACTGTGTTCTTCATGAGGCTACATCCCAGTCCAGGAACATGCTCACCTGCAGACGTGGGACTGGTAGATGTTGTGGGAGAGATTTTAAGCAAATAATCTGTAAAATTTACAAGATGGGAAGATATGCCAAGTCATGTTTTAAAGAAGTTCTGTGTTCTTCATGAAGATGTTTATTAGAAGAAGCTTATTTTGAAAGCCATATCTTAGTCCAGCAACACATTCACCTGAATTAGTGGAACTGGTAGATGTTGTAGAAGTGACCGGCTGTGAAGAAACTGAAACAATAACAGATGGAAACAGATGTTAAATCAGACTCAGATGTTAAATTACACAGCAAAATCCCCAGTGTTAAATCAACACTGCTCAGAGCACATATGGTCCCACTCTACGAGTGTTAAAGTAACACTGAAGCAGTGTTGAAGTTAATGAGATAATTAAGTCATCAATTAAGTGATGATTGAGTATAAATGGTGAACACCTGCTGTTAACAAGCAGATTTACTGAAGGAAAGAAAAACACAAGAACTAAAACTGACTTTTAGTCACAGCCTTATATTAAATCAAATGAAGATAAAAAGAAGACATTAAATCTGTGAAGATCTCAGCAGAGCATTACCAGCTTCACTTATTACTAACCAGACTGACTTTATTTCTGTATGGCTGGGAGATAAATCGCACGATATTGTTATGCGCATCTCGTCAGTAAAGCCGGTTCCTTGATTAGTAGTAAACGCCTTCACCTGCTTTCAGATGGAGTGGCATTTACTACAAAGAGCCGTAGTTCACTGACAAGCTGAGCCATATCGCACTAATATCGCGGACGTATCGCCAGCGATATTTAATACGATATGGCTAAGCTTGTCAGTTTACTACGGCTCTTTGTACACAGCAAAAACTCCAGTGTTAAATTAACACTCCTGGGAGTGTATATGAGTCCACACTCAAGAGTGTTACAGTTAATGAGATAATTAAGTGAATAATTGAGTGATGATTGAGCATTATTGAAGACACCTAAAGCAGAATCACTGAAGGAGAAAATCTAAAATTGTAAGCCACCGTTATGGCGATCATTGTTTGCTTTAGTTGGGCTCTTGAACCTTAGATTTTTAACTTTAGATTTTGTTTGGCTGTTGTATGAGTTATAACTGCCAGATGAACAAAGACAAAAAGTGATCTAATGGTGTTGGTTATATTATGACAATCATCATTTGAACTTTATGTTTGTGATTTATGATGTTGGTTACAGCATAACTATGATTCTGCATAAATATCCAGAATTTATAATATAAAGGATTTCTTAAGTTGTTTAAAAAAAAAAAAAAACTTTCTTTTAGGCACACACAGACCTCAAGATTCAGTCAATGCATCTCAACAATGGTGACAAGCAGAATATTCAATTAGGAAAAGTAAATTACATAGACAATTCAGATCCTAATTTATTCATACCGCAATGCATGATGGGAGCCATTAATGAGTTGTGATTGGTGGCAGCCACTGCAACATGCATTATTATTGTCACCATTGTTGAGATGCACAGTCTGATTATTGATGTCTGTGTTTCTAAATAAATTCATTTGAAAGTGTTTTGATCAGAGCAATGTTTATTAAATATTTTGGATTATAAGAAAAATACTGATAACCATATGCTGTAAAATCACGAAGCTGTTGCTAACAAGTTAAACCAAACTATTTCAATAAGTTTCATTTTTCAGATCACAGCATGATTATGCCAAAACATAACCAACACTGTCAGATCACACTTTCCTTTGTTAATTTGACTATTATAAAACAATAACAACAGACAAACAAAAGTTAAAGATGAAAGTATAAGGGTCAAGAGTCCAACTAAAGCAAACACTGATCACCATAATCAGTGGCATACAATTTGTCATTTTCTCCTTCAGTGATTCTGCTTGTTAGCATCAGGTGTCTTCAATAATGCTCAATCATCACTAAATTAATCACTTAATTATCTCATTAACTTTAACACTCTTGAGTGTTAATTTAACACTCATATCTGCATCATATCTTCCACCTGAAAGCAGGTGAAGGCGATTTACTACTAATCAAGGAACCGGCTTAACTGATGAGATGCGCATAACAATGTCATATACCGTTATATAATACAAGTTATATATCACCTTTTTAATCAGAGAATCAACACACCAAATAATGATTCATCATTCCATAAATCATCATCAAAACTCAACCACATGCTCAAATTTTCTTCTGGCATTTGTGCCATAACAAATATGTTATATAAACACTCAGTTACAGCAGCCAGAGGAAAAACTGGTATTATAAAAACAAGGGTCAAGAGCCCAACTAAAGCAAACACTGACCACTATCATGGTGTCTTTAAAGGAACCTCAATAAATCATCTTCATCTAAACCTCTGTTCATTCACAATAACAACTTCTGTAGACGCATGATAAAAGTCAACCTGGTTAGTAAGTGAAGCTGGTAATGCTGTTTGTGGAGTTGTTCAATCCCCCTCTGCTGAGATCTTGAGAGATTTAAACATATTTTATCTTCAGTTGATTTCATCTAATGTCGTGGTTGGAAGTCAGTTGTAGTTGTGTTTCTCTTTCCTTCAGTGATTATGCACGTTAACAGCAGGTGTTCATCACTAATGCTCAACAATCACTTAATTAATCACTTAATTAATCACTTCATTTCTTGACTGCAATATCTACTTTTAATGAACTCAACTGAAATAATGTCAGAGTACTCATAACTATTGTTTTTTATAAACTTAAATTAATTGAGGTAATCAGTTTCCTCAAATGTAATGAGTTATCTTAACTCATTGGATTTGACTTTGTGTGTGATATTGTGAGCTAGCAGTAACTGCAAGTGCTCTGAGTTCATTTAAAGTTTGTCATTTCACTGTTTTTACTCAATAAAGTAAAGTTTCAGCTATATACAGTATTAAATGCAGTGTAAAGTTTAATTGTGTTTTAAGAAATATTATTGTTTTAGTGAACTCGAATAAAATAAGTTCAGAGTACTCATAACTATTGCTTTTCATAAACTTAAATGAATTGAGGTAATCGGTTTCCTCAAATGAAATGAGTTAGCTTAACTTGTTGGGTTTTACAGTGTTAACTGACAAGCTGAGCCATATTGCATTAATTATCGCTGGCGATATGTCCACGATATTAATGCGATATGGCTCAGCTTGTCACACGGCTCTTTGTAGTAAATGCCGCTCCATCTGAAAGCAGGTGAAGGCGATTTACCGGCTTTACTGACGAGATACACATAACAATGTGATGCGACATATCGCCCAGCCCTAGTTTTAATTCATACTGTAAAGATTACAGTAAAGAACTGTAAAATCACAGCTGCTCTTGTTTTGCTGGTTTTATAGGTGTGCTGTATTTTTTACAGTTTAATTGTAGTTGATGATTTACTGCAATCTTGTAAATTTACAGGCTTATACTGGCAACCAAAATTGCCAGTAAGTTGCTGTAAATTTTTGAGTATTTTTCTTTTACAGTGTGGATGTGATAGTTTTAGTTTAATTTACACACTTTATTGTCCCCTTAGGGAAATTTGTCTTGGGCTCAGTGTATATGCTGCATTTCCAGAATAAAAAAAATAAAATAAAAAAAAATAAAAAAAAATCTAAATTCTTGGCTAGGAACCAGCCAAGAGTGAGGAGTCAGGGTGACGGAAGGGTCGCGTTTCAATATTACAGTGCAATCCACCATCATCTTCACCTGTAGATGTAGAACTAGAATTTGTGGAAGTGTCCGTCTGTAAAGGAACTACAACTTTAACACATGAAAACACATGATAAGTCAGACTCAGATGCTGAATTACTGTGTTCTTCAAGAAGAAACAAATTATGGAGGAAGATCTTTTTTAAAAAGTCAGATTCAGCCCAGAAACATGCTCACCTTCAGTAGTGGGACTGGTAGATGTTGTGGAAGTGACTGTCAGTAAATGATCTGTAATATTTACATGATGAAAAGAGATGCCAAGTCAGATTTAGATGAAGTGCTGTGTTCTTTATGAAGATATTAATTATAGAGAGCATTTCAATATATACACAGCAAAATTCCCAGTGTTAAATTAACACTGCTCGGTGTTTACATTAACCACACTCAGGGGGCTTTCACAGTGGCAGTTTAGTTCGGAACGGGGCACGGTTCGCATGAAAAATCGCTAATGTGAACGCTGTCATGGGACCCGGGTGCGCACTGGGGTACCGAACCCGAGACTACCTGGAGAAGGTGGTCTGAGTTCGGTTGCTCCCGAACCGTGCCGCGGTTCGCGTGAATGTGAAAGCAGCACGGACTCGGGTGCGCACTTGTTCAGGAAGTAAAGTTACCTGCGCATGCGTTTTAGCTTATTGTGATGTATTCAGTTAAATAAAACACTTGTAAGGGATGATAGTGTTGATGATTTACCTTGGATACGAGCGAGAGTGAGCCTGTATTCGTGCATTGCGCGTGAAATCAGGGCACCAAATTTGGAAATCCTCTGTCTCCTCAAAAGAGTCCGTTTGCAAGCAGCAGAAGTCCACCTTATGTGCATGACACACGCACAGTAAACCTGTATTGTTCACTCAACTGCGCATAATAGCAGCGAATTAATAAAAAAACACAATATTGCCCCGCGTTCTGTTTTCTATCATGCGCTGCGCACGTTTGCGATGATGTAATATGCACGCAAACACACCAGGGTTCGATAGAATCAAGTTGAGTGTGAAACCAGACCAACGCTGCGGGGGACGCCGGGAACAAACGCGCTCGGGCTCGGACCGCAGCAAACGACCCCAGTGTAAAAGCCCCCTTAGAGAGTGTTAAATGAACACTGAAGCAGTGCTACAGTTAATGAGATGATTAAGTGATTAATTGAGTGATAAATTAGCATTATTGAAGACACCTGATGTTAACAAGCAGAATCACTGAAGGAGAAAATCATAATTGGTATGTTATCATTATGGAGATCAGTGTTTGCTTTAGTTGGGCTGTTGACCCTTATAGCACCACTGTCCTTGTCGTAGAGTATGCATTTTTTAGCCTTTTCAATTAAATCCAAATGATTATGTAACGATTCTAGCTCATATAAAGGGAATATAATTTTAATAACTGATCATGAATATGATCAGGAATTGCATACACAGATTACACAAATACACATACACAAATTACCCGTAAAGGGGATACGTTGCCAATGTATCTGTATGGACAACTAAATACAACGGATTATAGTCAATTATCCATACAGATAGGCAAAAATAGATCAATTGTATATATCAATAATCAATCACAACGAATTATAATTAAATATGAATATGTCAATTGTCTAGAATAGATCGATTCCAAGGATAACCCTTATGGAATTAATTTGTTATCGAATAATCTGTTCGTCCAGCAAACTGACCGTACGATCTTTCATCAACCCTCAAGAGAAGTTATCCTTATAGACTCACAAGAAAGGCTATCTTTCTGGCCATGAAAAATAACTTTCCTGTTTTATAAAAATACTATTTAAAGTATTAACAAATTGTAAAGCTTGTAGCTTAGATCGAACATTTAAGGGACTGTTAGTTTTTTATTTAAGGGGCTACCGGAGGAGTTTTGAGATCTATCGTCAAAATAGACTTGACCCTCCCTTCGCTAGCAATACATTTTTTATGACCCTCCAAAATGATTGTGAAAAAAAGGCATGACCCTCCCCGGTAATTTATTGATTACTTCTGTACTGGTTTGCACTTGGCAAAGATGTTCAGATATCTCTATGCCTAGTAGACCTACACCAAACATTCATTAAAAAGGGTCCTGTACAGGGCTGTACAGTGCAACAAATATCTACGAAAAGATTGGTCTGTGCGATGAATAAATGTACCACTGTAGCACTGTCTGTTTGTTTTCAGACATGATAACAGTCGTTTTATACTTCTGCTTATGCGATATCACGATTTTTGATCGTGGATGATTTAATGTCTCCACGTTCTGCTTTTGAAGAAATATGGTAGTATCGTGCAACAGCGCACATTCTATCAGCTGCAGTTCTGACGCCTCAAGCTTGGTTTGTACTCGCCGCGTCCGCACGAGTGCGAAGGTGAGCGAGGGCCCATTTCGCTTGGCGGTGTGCACGGCAGATTTTGTAACTGCGCGCGCGGCTCCGCAATCCGAAGATGCACGACTTCGAGCCGAATCTGGCCGAGCATATAGCCTACGTCGCATCACACCGGCACCCAGTTTGTGCGTCTAGTAGCTAGTTGCTTAAATTTACAAAATGAGCCTACAATAGCAGACATAAGCCCTTTTAATTATGGTCCATGTTTTATAAAAAATGTTCTTGAAACTAAATGAAAATGTTTAGTGAAATTAGAAAATTTGTGTGTTATCGTTAATTTAGTTGCACAGCAAAATCCCCAGTGTTAAAGTTAACACTCCTGGTGTACATATAGGTCCAACTACAGGGTGTTAGAAATTAACACTGAAGCTGTGTTGAAGTTAATGAGATAATTAAGTGATGATTGGACATTAGTGGTGACACCTAATGTTGATATGAATAATCATTGAAGGAAAGAGAAACAACAAGAACAGAAAAAAAGAGAAACACAAGAACTACTGACTCTGATCCATTACACATTATTGCACTTATTATTTGTACACCAGTTTGACTTTATTTCTGTCATACATCTACACACAGTCTTATTTAGATGTACAGAAGTTTAGATGGTGATGTTTTATGCAATGTGTCATTTAATGTCACCATTATGATGATCAGTGTTTGCTTTAGTTGGGCTCTTGACCCTTTCCTTTTTAATATTAGTTTTTTTTTCTTGCCACTCCAACTCTGTGTTCATAAAGCACATTTGTTGTGGCAAGAAAAACTATGACCTGGGCTGCGTTTCCCAAAAGCATTGTAAGCCTAAGTTGATTGTAAAGACCATTTGTTGAAATTGTTCTACAATCAAGTTAGGTTTAAGATGCTTTTGGGAAATGAAGCCCAGGTCATGATGGTAATGTTTAGATCAAATCCAATCCAGTAGTGGCCTGATACATTAAACCAGCATTATAAACTGATTATACAAATGTATTATTCATTAAGGTTGCTAATTCTAGCAGTGTTTTAATAATCTGAAGGTTTTAAAATCACACACAGACATCAAGAATCTTGAATCAAATGTGACCGTAACTGGTCACATTTGTGACCAGTTACGGAAACTAGGGACACAAGTCGTTCTGAAACATTTTGAGTTATTCACAGATTCTGAAAGTGTGGTCTCCAAGCTTTCCAACGATGTGTAACACATGGAAATCTGATAATATTTGGAGAAGTTGTAGCCATTTGAAGTTAGGCACTCAAAAAAACTAAAAGTGGAGAAAACCGCCTCGAAAGATGTGCAGTTCTCACCTCTCTCTGCTGCTTGGAGTGACAATAGGGCTCATTTACATCTCATTTAGATAAGCCATACCCCCTGTAAAGCTCTCCCTGTGCTTTACAGCTTTTTTTTCTTTCCTGAGCTAGCTAATAACAATAGGTAGGTATGGGAAGGTCTAAACAGACTAAACATGAGATAACATGTACGTGTTCTTAGAATTAAAACAAAACGACAAACTTTAATGTTTAATGCAAACTCACCCCCAGGACCGGCGAATGCACTTCTGCCGCTCTAGGCGAAAAACAATTGTGCTGCCCCTCTATTTGCAACGTTTACCAGCAACAACACACAAAGACCAATATGCCATATACATATAACGCAAAACCAGCAACAACACACAAAGACCAATAAGCCATAGGCCTACATATAACGCAAATAGTGCGCAACGCGCGTGTGCCCAAAATGTCAACAATATTAAAGTTTATGCAGGAGGTAAATGCCTGCTGGCATTTTTCTTTAAGCAGTCATGACAGGAATTTTCCAAATAATCATATTTCCTCCTCAGATTACTGTTGCAAATCTCTTTACACCACTTTCTTATGTGCGTATACACACACAAATGAAATGTCCGCAAGCACATTATATCATCAGCAGGTTCAGCATCTTACATAACGACTAAGGAGCAAATAAAGCTTAACTTACGTTTCAGAAACGCGCACGGCAGGCCTTCATCGCAGCAAAGGTCTTAACTGCATCCTCTATTTCGATTCTCTGTGCCAGTTCATGTTCTATGGAGATTGTTGCCAGTCCATTAAGTCTGTTCCCTGTTCACAAAACGTTCCCCATTCAAAGCAATCGGGACGTCACATATGAAACAGTTAGCCACCGCTGTCAGCGAGCCGAGCCGCCGTATTCAAGCACCGAGGGCGCGCGCGCCGCGCCCATACCTCCGGTTCAGTTTCCCGAGCCCACAAAGTGCGGCGAAAACATTTTCGGTGTAACTGCCACGGTTCAGCTCGTCTGCGACAATCTTTGCGGCATCGATCTTCATTGAATTTTTATATCAGATAGAGCCGGCCAGAGTGCTGCATAATAAGTAGCCACGCTGTTGGGGGGCGGGGGCAAAAGCGCCGGCGGCTATTCAGTATGGAAATACACACAGACAATGACACGCCCCTACTGCATGCTAGAATCTCCGAAAAACAAGCCGATTTCAACCTCAAAATGTACGCTTTTAAATATACCAATACTGTTATCTCAAACATGGAGAGGCTTCTTCATGATCTCAACTAACAGATTCTGCAAAAAAGCGGAAATCACCAATTTTGGAAAAAAAACGCTTCTTTCTCATTTTGCTCGCAAGTTGTGCTGCCGACTTGTGTCCCTGGTTTCCGTGACGGGTCACATTTGTTCGTACTTTAAAGCTTTGCCGGGTAAACATTTCATTGTCGTTCTGTTCTGACATGATCCACTTTTTCTGAGCGCGTACGCCCAAAGCACGCGTACTGTCAAACAGCGCCAAACTAGACTTTATCTATCTTTTGCGTCTGATTTGTGTTGGGTCAGACCAATCTGCTAGCGATAGGGGGCCGATACTGAGAGAGCTACATGGAAAAATATGCACCAAACAAGCCACTTTGAAATGTTGCTGTTTTCATGAATACAAAATTTGCGTGACCCTCCCCTATAGACTAAAGTTGGATGACCCTACCCTCAACAAAGAATAAAAAGACATGACCCTCGCCTATTTTCCTCCGGTGGTCCATTCTATAAATACCGAACGGTTTAAAGGGGGTCTGGGTTCACACCTTCCGGGGTGAACTGACCCATCGGCTTGGAGTTCTGTGAGCGGCAAAAGTATTTCTTTGTCCTGTCATTTCACTGTTTTTACTCAATAAAGTGAAGTTTCAGCTATATACAGTATTAAATGCAGTGTAAAGTTTAATTGTGTTTTAATAAATATTATTGTTTTAGTTAACTCGAATAAAGTAAGTTCAGAGTACTCATAACTATTGTTTGTATTTCATTTCAGGGACTGGCTGATGCAGTGGGTGAGAGAATAATCCATTGTAAATTGGTTTACAGTTATATTTTATTTAATTATAAAACTGGTAAAATACATTACTTGGCAAATCCAAATGGATTTATTCTAGATTTTTCTGAAATCAACACCTTATCTCACTCAGCTAAGGTTAGAACATACCAAAGCCCATCATTTGATTAAGCAGATTTGCAGTCCTGTTTATGTATGATGTATGTATTAATGGTGTCTTTTGTAAAAACTGCAAACCAATTTTGAGCCAGTGGTAACTTCTTACATTTACATTTTTAGATCATAACAGTAAAATCATCACATGTTATATTTAAATGACCATAACAAAAATGTTACATTAATACATGATACACAATCACACTATATTCATTTAGGTTAGGAAACTGTAATATTACATGTAACATGAAGAGAATAAAAATATCAAATCAAACTCAGATGCATTACATTCATATAGTGACATATATGACTGACATATATCCTCATTTGTAAGTCGCTTTGGATAAAGGCGTCTGCTAAATGACTAAATGTAAATGTAAATGACTGTTTCATAAGGTGTAACATTAACAAGACAAACATTGTCACCAAAACAGACTAAGATGAAAGGAAGTCACTCACCTGTAGAAGTAGAACTGGTAGATGTTGCGGAAGGGTTTGGCTGTAAAGGACCTGAAAAAAATAACAGATGTAAAATCAGACTCAGATGATGAACTATTGTTTTCTTTATTAAGACACTGATTATGGAGGGTCACGTTTCAATATTACAATCAAAGAAAATCATCAAAAAAGATGAAGAATATAATCTTGAGGAGTTTATTTTTAAAGGCCACATTCAGTCTAGATTTATTCTCACTTGAAGACGTAGAACTGGTAGATGTTGTGGAAGTGTCAGTCTGTAAAGAAACTGAAACAATAACAGATGGAAACAGATGATAAATCAGATTCAGATGCGGAATTACTCTGTTCTTCATGAATAAAATCATTACGAGGGGGTTCTTCTTAAAGGGGTCATCAGATGCCTATTTTCCACAAGTTGGTATGATTATTTAGGGTCTTCATGTAAAGTTTGTAACATACTTTGGTTAAAATTCTTTAATCGTTGTGTAAAAGAACACCCTTTTTACCTCCTCAAAAACATCTTTGTTCACATCCACCCCGTTTCGTTGCATGTCTCTTTAAATGATAATGAGCAACTGTTGACCACACCCCACTCTTCCGTAAAGTGCTGCCTTGGTGGACAGTATATAAATGGCTGAGGGCGAAAATACGCGAATACGGGACAGTCCATCAGCGGTCGTGGGCAAAGAATGAGCAATATGACATCATATTGCTCAGAAAATCCAAATGCCTTGTTTATTGAGAGTGTTTAGGCTTTTTGAGGATTAAAAAAAAAAGGAGTGAATGGATTTTTTTCATTGTATGGTGGTTGTGTCCACACACTGCAAAGACCCATACTTGAAATCAGATTTACCAGTATTTGATAGAGATCTACAAACCTTTTCACTCTGCCACAAGGATCATTATGGCTTCTCTGGACGATGCATTATCATGTATACTGTAATTACCATAATAGGAGAGTTTTTGCAGTTATGCCACCCTGACATACAAAAGTTTTTTCAATTATCTCAACAGCTGTAAATCTACTAGAATGTATAAAAATGGTTTATATGAAAGGTTAAAAATTATGCCATACAATTTTGTTTTCATTTTTTTTTATCTTAAGACGCCATTTTAAATAGTTAACAAAACATAACAAAACATAAAATATGTATTATTTAAATGTACTAAAAATGAATTAAAACTAAATAGGTTTTATAGATTATGTCATGAATTTATAAAATTATGTTAAAAGGAAATAATGCACTTGGACACTTAGGAAATAATGTGTGTGTGTGTATAATCATGTTTTGTTTTAAAATAAAATATATGATGTATTAATTTCTATAGTAATAAGTGCATGGGGTGCATAAGCATTGTAAACATTAAGATTAATGAAATGTTACATTTTACTTGTTTGCAATGGATTTTTTAAGACAATCACCTGTTTCCCGCAAGTCTATTGTCCTTGTGAAACCATAGTGAACGTGATACCCTTAAATAACCAAGGTAAAGTTAGCCAGAAATATGTTAACAAAGGCAGGCAACGCTGGTTGACCACAATAAACATTAAATATTAGCAGATTTTTATCTTTTAAAAACAATATTGCTGTAACTACTTACACATACTACATGCACATGCCAATGCATTATATACATATTGTAAATCAATGCATTTACTACAAACTACCAAAAATCACAGTTCTGCTCTCTAACTCCATCGATTTGAATTGGCGCCGAAGCAATTCTTGGAAATATCTGAGGTGACAACGAAGCATTTTGAACTATTGATAGATTCTCATAGGTTTACATCAGATTTATATAGACAGGAATAATATTTCATTAATTCAATCTTTATTAAAGCTGCCGTCGGCAACATTTTTTTGATCATATTCAGTGAAATCGACACTAAAATCCGACAGAACAACATAAATAAAGTGGTTTTAGAAAAAAACCTGAGCTTCTAACTCCACCTGGAGCGTGTTATTTGTTTTAGCAAAAATCCACAGCTCCCGGTTCATCATGTCCAATCAGCGCAGGGGGAGTGAGATCTGACTGTCAATCACAGATCGGGCACACGACACCCCTCGCGCAGTTACAATCACATGCACACGCCTGAAGTTCGCGCAGTAACGAAGAGTGATGGCAGAAAATCAAGTAAGCTCATTTAGAGTATAAATGACGTTAGCAATTGCAATCTATCGGTAGATTAGCCAGGACAGCATACCTCCAAATAATCCATGGTGTTGATGGATGCTGATGAGACGGGAGCACACGCACTGACGAGCACGAACTCGGTGGGAGGGTTTTCGCTGATAGTGGGGGAGGGGCATGAGAGTTGTAAACATTCAAAATTTTGCCTAAGTCCACTCAATCTGCCAGACTTGCCGACTGCAGCTTTAAGGACACAGAATTCCGGTGTAGTGGCTTCCTTGCCTTCTTAAGCCACTTCCGTAAGGGAAAGTATGTTTGACGCTACACCTGTTTTAACAAGACTTGAGCTTTATTGTAACAAAAAGGTGAAAACTTAAAGACAAAACTCTGTGCTCCAAAACAAGCAGTGTGATGTAATGTAGGTCAAAAAACTGTCTCCCTTCCCCTCTCCCTTGCCACATCACTTCCTGCTTAAGATGGCTACCTTTAGGAAGTCCCTAAAAGGGGTGCAATTCTTTCCCTTTACCACAGGGGGGAGTGCAGACAGTAGTTACATACAGCCATAACATTAAGTAACATTATTAATAGCCTTATGGCTCCTACACCCGGTCAAAAGTATTTATTGAATTTATACCCAAATGCTTCGATGTAATAATTATGAGCGCTGGATACTCTGATGTACTGTGTTTTCAATACACACTATGCACATTTAGTCCATATATGGACACATGAAGAAGTGCCATAATCAACACATGAAGAAGTGCCATAATCATGTGACATTCCAGGAAGTCCCTGACACAAACGAAGCTAACAGAGATCGCTGTAACATGGAGATAAATACGTTTTGAATGCAATGATATTTGAGTTACTTGTGCTCTTCGAGCCATGTCAGGTATTTTCATAATAATAGATGATATTTATAATGTAATGCTAATCGATGTAGACTTTATCATCGTGCAGAATACTATAAAATAATATATCTTCTGTCTGATTTTTTTTTATCTGAAGCCAAATCAGATCACAGAAGGTTATTTAAAACACTTGACTTGCGTTATAAAGTAAGTTTGGAGCACACAACATAGTTTTAATCTCATAAATTGTCGTGTATTGATGGTGTGCTAAGCTAACATGCTAGCTTGCCCTAGATGCACCTGCCACTTAGCTGTTATTTTTATGAATTTTTCTAAATAGGAATGCTTACTGAAATGTTTCTTTTTTCAAGAAGGTCATTTGATACAGTTTCAAATGTGAAGTGAGAACTTTGATACAAGAAATTAGGGATTGAAACAGCGTGAATAGCCAGTCATTATTAATTATAATGCAGACAAAAGAAAAACATATTTAGAGCCATAATCAGGCTGGAGAGGTGTGAATATGTGCAGGGGAGTCTGAGACTGAATGGGGCTCGTTTGCACCACAAAACAATAGGCAATAGACTGAATAGATGCTAGAAGATGACAATAAACACCAGTTTGCATTGTAGAGTCTAATCAAAATAAAGTCATATGACATGATCTTGAAAAACATTTGAAAAACATTGAACTAAATGCAGAGTTTTAGACTTATCTTCAAATTTTAAATATAACATGGTCAGACATGTGGCTTTAGATGCAGTGCATTTCTAGATTGATAAAATGCCAACTTCAATTTTATTTTCATAAAAATACATATCTAATAACTTTACAAAACTTTGAAGCTATTTATAACTATTTTTTTTTCATTATGACAATAATTAATTGTACATTTACAATATATTATCAAAACGTCGGTAAGAAGTTACAGTCTCGATATAAATATATTCACAAAATACAATTTTCAAATGCAAAACGTTTTTTGTCTTTTTTTTTTTTTTTATTATTCAAAATTTCTTGCATTTGCAAATTGTCACATATTTGTAAATCACCCTGAATTTGTGTGTAAATATTTTGGGTTGTTTTTCCAAATATATGTGTTTCTTTAATTCGACCAATCACAGGTCATGCTTAACTCATGTGTCATCCGTACAGATGAATGAGAGATGAATAAGGGATGAATGAGAGATGAATGAGGGATGAATGAGAGATGAATGAGGGATGAATGAGGGATGAATGAGGGATGAATGAGGGATGAATGAGGGATGAATGAGAGATGAATGAGGGATGAATGAGAGATGAATGAGAGATGAATGAGGGATGAATGAGAGATGAATGAGGGATGAATGAGAGATGAATGAGAGATGAATGAGGGATGAATGAGAGATGAATGAGAGATGAATGACAGATGAATGAGGGATGAATGAGAGATGAATGAGGGATGAATGAGGGATGAATGAGGGATGAATGAGGGATGAATGATGAATGAGAGATGAATGAGGGATGAATGAGGGATGAATGAGGGATGAATGATGAATGAGGGATGAATGAGAGATGAATGAGAGATGAATGAGGGATGAATGAGGGATGAAAGAGGGATGAATGATGAATGAGAGATGAATCAGGGATGAATGAGAGATGAATGAGGGATGAATGAGGGATGAATGAGGGATGAATGAGAGATGAATGATGAATGAGAGATGAATGAGAGATGAATGAGGGATGAATGAGAGATGAATGAGGGATGAATGAGGGATGAATGAGAGATGAATAAGGGGGGATTGAGAGATGAATGAGGGATGAATGAGAGATGAATGATGGATGAATGAGAGATGAATGAGAGATGAATGAGGGATGAATGAGAGATGAATGAGGGATGAATGAGAGATGAATGAGGGATGAATGAGAGATGAATGAGAGATGAATGAGGGATGAATGAGGGATGAATGAGAGATGAATGAGGGATGAATGAGGGATGAATGAGAGATGAATGAGGGATGAATGAGGGATGAATGAGAGATGAATGAGAGATGAATGAGGGATGAATGAGGGATGAATGAGAGATGAATGAGGGATGAATGAGGGATGAATGAGAGATGAATGAGAGATGAATGAGGGATGAATGAGGGATGAATGAGAGATGAATGAGGGATGAATGAGGGATGAATGAGAGATGAATGAGGGATGAATGAGGGATGAATGAGAGATGAATGAGAGATGAATGAGAGATGAATGAGGGATGAATGAGGGATGAATGAGGGATGAATGAGGGATGAATGAGAGATGAATGAGGGATGAATGAGGGATGAATGAGAGATGAATGAGGGATGAATGAGGGATGAATGAGAGATGAATGAGAGATGAATGAGAGATGAATGAGGGATGAATGAGAGATGAATGAGAGATGAATGAGAGATGAATGAGAGATGAATGAGAGATGAATGAGGGATGAATGAGGGATGAATGATGAATGAGAGATGAATCAGGGATGAATGAGAGATGAATGAGAGATGAATGAGAGATGAATGAGAGATGAATGAGGGATGAATGAGGGATGAATGATGAATGAGAGATGAATGAGAGATGAATGAGAGATGAATGAGGGATGAATGAGGGATGAATGAGAGATGAATGAGGGATGAATGAGGGATGAATGAGAGATGAATGAGAGATGAATGAGGGATGAATGAGGGATGAATGAGAGATGAATGAGGGATGAATGAGGGATGAATGAGAGATGAATGAGGGATGAATGAGGGATGAATGAGGGATGAATGAGGGATGAATGAGGGATGAATGAGGGATGAATGAGAGATGAATGAGGGATGAATGAGGGATGAATGAGGGATGAATGAGGGATGAATGAGAGATGAATGAGGGATGAATGAGGGATGAATGAGGGATGAATGAGGGATGAATGAGAGATGAATGAGGGATGAATGAGGGATGAATGAGAGATGAATGAGAGATGAATGAGAGATGAATGAGAGATGAATGAGAGATGAATGAGGGATGAATGATGAATGAGAGATGAATGAGAGATGAATGAGAGATGAATGAGGGATGAATGAGGGATGAATGAGAGATGAATGAGGGATGAATGAGGGATGAATGAGAGATGAATGAGAGATGAATGAGGGATGAATGAGGGATGAATGAGAGATGAATGAGGGATGAAAGAGGGATGAATGAGAGATGAATGAGGGATGAATGAGGGATGAATGAGAGATGAATGAGAGATGAATGAGAGATGAATGAGGGATGAATGAGAGATGAATGAGAGATGAATGAGAGATGAATGAGAGATGAATGAGAGATGAATGAGGGATGAATGAGGGATGAATGATGAATGAGAGATGAATCAGGGATGAATGAGAGATGAATGAGAGATGAATGAGGGATGAATGAGGGATGAATGAGAGATGAATCAGGGATGAATGAGAGATGAATGAGGGATGAATGAGGGATGAATGAGGGATGAATGAGGGATGAATGAGAGATGAATGAGGGATGAATGATGAATGAGAGATGAATCAGGGATGAATGAGAGATGAATGAGAGATGAATGAGGGATGAATGAGAGATGAATGAGAGATGAATGACAGATGAATGAGGGATGAATGAGGGATGAATGAGAGATGAATGAGAGATGAATGACAGATGAATGAGGGATGAATGAGAGATGAATGAGGGATGAATGAGAGATGAATGAGGGATGAATGAGAGATGAATGAGGGATGAATGAGAGATGAATGAGAGATGAATGAGAGATGAATGAGGGATGAATGAGAGATGAATGAGGGATGAATGAGGGATGAATGAGGGATGAATGAGGGATGAATGAGAGATGAATGAGGGATGAATGAGGGATGAATGAGAGATGAATGAGAGATGAATGAGGGATGAATGAGAGATGAATGAGAGATGAATGAGGGATGAATGAGGGATGAATGAGGGATGAATGATGAATGAGGGATGAATGAGAGATGAATGAGAGATGAATGAGGGATGAATGAGGGATGAAAGAGGGATGAATGATGAATGAGAGAGGGATGAATGATGAATGAGAGATGAATCAGGGATGAATGAGAGATGAATGAGAGATGAATGAGGGATGAATGAGAGATGAATGAGGAATGAATGAGGGATGAATGAGAAAAGAATGAGGGATGAATGAGGGATGAATGAGAGATGAATGAGAGATGAATGAGAGATGAATGAGGGATGAATGAGGGATGAATGAGGGATGAATGATGAATGAGGGATGAATGAGAGATGAATGAGAGATGAATGAGGGATGAATGAGGGATGAAAGAGGGATGAATGATGAATGAGAGATGAATCAGGGATGAATGAGAGATGAATGAGGGATGAATGAGGGATGAATGAGGGATGAATGAGAGATGAATGAGGGATGAATGAGAGATGAATGATGAATGAGAGATGAATGAGAGATGAATGAGGGATGAATGAGAGATGAATGAGGGATGAATGAAGGATGAATGAGAGATGAATAAGGGGGGATTGAGAGATGAATGAGGGATGAATGAGGGATGAATGAGAGATGAATGAGAGATGAATGAGGGATGAATGAGAGATGAATGAGGGATGAATGAGAGATGAATGAGAGATGAATGAGAGATGAATGAGGGATGAATGAGAGATGAACGAGGGATGAATGAGAGATGAATGAGAGATGAATGACAGATGAATGAGGGATGAATGAGAGATGAATGAGAGATGAAAAAGAGATGAATGAGAGATGAATGAGGGATGAATGAGAGATGAATGAGGGATGAATGAGGGATGAATGAGAGATGAATGAGGGATGAATGAGAGATGAATGAGGGATGAATGAGGGATGAATGAGAGATGAATGAGAGATGAATGATGGATGAATGAAAGATGAATGAGGGATGAATGAGAGATGAATGAGTGATGAATGAGAGATGAATGAGAGATGAATGAGGGATGAATGATGGATGAATGAGAGATGAATGAGAGATGAATGAGGGATGAATGAAGGATGAATGAGGGATGAATGATGGATGAAAGAGAGATGAATGAAGGATGAATGAGGGATGAATGAAGGATGAATGAGGGATGAATGAGGGATGAATGAGAAATGAATGAGTGATGAATGAGAGATGAATTATGGATGAAAGAGAGATGAATGAGAGATGAATGAGGGATGAATGAGGGATGAATGAGAGATGAATGAGGGATGAATGAGGGATGAATGAGAGATGAATGAGGAATGAATGAGGGAAGAATGAGAGATGAATGAGGGATGAATGAGAGATGAATGAGAGATGAATGAGATGAATGAGGGATGAATGAGAGATGAATGAGAGATGAATGAGAGATGAATGAGGGATGAATGAGAGATGAATGAGAGATGAATGAGGGATGAATGAGGGATGAATGAGAGATGAATGAGAGATGAATGAGGGATGAATGAGGGATGAAGATGAATGAGGGATGAATGAGAGATGATTGAGGGATGAATGAGAGATGAATGAGAGATGATTGAGGGATGAATGAGAGATGAATGAGGGATGAATGAGAGATGAATGAGGGATGAATGAGAGATGAATGAGGGATGAATGAGGGATGAATGAGAGATGAATGAGGGATGAATGAGAGATGAATGGTGGATGAATGAGAGATGAATGAGAGATGAATGAGGGATGAATGAGGGATGAATGAGCGATGAATGAGAGATGAATGAGGGATGAATGAGAGATGAATGAGGGATGAATGAGAGATGAATGAGAGATGATTGAGGGATGAATGAGAGATGAATGAGGGATGAATGAGAGATGAATGAGGGATGAATGAGAGATGAATGAGGGATGAATGAGAGATGAATGAGGGATGAATGAGAGATGAATGGTGGATGAATGAGAGATGAATGAGAGATGAATGAGGGATGAATGAGGGATGAATGAGAGATGAATGAGAGATGAATGAGGGATGAATGAGGGATGAAGATGAATGAGGGATGAATGAGAGATGAATGAGAGATGAATGAGAGATGAATGAGGGATGAATGAGAGATGAATGAGGGATGAATGAGGGATGAATGAGAGATAAATGAGGGATGAATGAGGGATGAATGAGAGAAAATAAGCCAATAGAGACACAGTGTGTTACATTACCAGGTGAGATGGTCACTGGTGTGACAGCTGTAGGGCTGGTGTTAATGCTGCCAGTGTCTGAAAGTTTGGATGAATAATGATTAATCAACACAAACACAAATATCATGAATGTGTAGAAAGAGCTCATGTGAATATAATTACCTGCACAGTATGCTAAAGAACAGAGAGTTGGTCTGAGCAGCTCATAGACATAATAATCTCCTGGACAGGCTTTGACTTTGATGGGAAAAGACCCGAAATAGCAGCAGTAATTGTCCCAGTTACCGCAGACATCTCGAGTGACGACTCCATCTGTTACTGTTGGGTGTCCACCACGGATCCACAGTGGGACATCAGTGCCACAGCTGTACTTAGCAACACACGTTTCTGGGATATGAGCGCTAGTGTTGTTAATGAAGAGACGATACCAGCCGCTCCAGGAGACAGACGTGTCACACTTTTTGACTGAAGCGTGTGTATTACTGATGGATCTCCATGGATCGTCCAGCACAATGTAGTTGTAGCAGGGGTCTGTAGAGAGATAAACTTATGAATACACCAATGTTAAATCATAGTCTCAATATAAATATGTTCATGAAAACACATTATATATACTGTATTATACATACATTTATAATATATATAATTTATAATATTAAATATATTATCAAAACACCAGTAAGAAGTTATATTCTTGATATAAATATATTCACAAAATACAATTTTCAAATGCAAAACGTTTTTTGTCATTTTTATTTTATTTTTTTATTCAAAATTTCTTGCAATTGCAAATTGTCACATATTTGTAAATCGCCCTGAATTTGTGTGTAAATAGTTTGGGTTGTTTTTCCAATTAGATGTGTTTCTTTAATTCGACCAATCACAGGCCATGCTTAACTCATGTGTCATCCGTACAGATGAATGAGGGATGAATGAGGGATAAATGAGGGATGAATGAGAGATGAATGAGGGATGAATGAGGGATGAATGAGAGATGAATGAGAGATGAATGAGGGATGAATGAGAGATGAATGAAAGATGAATGAGAGATGAATGAGGGATGAATGAGAGATGAATGAGAGATGAATGAGGGATGAATGAGAGATGAATGAAAGATGAATGAAAGATGAATGAGGGATGAATGAGGGATGAATGAGAGATGAATGAGAGATGAATGAGAGATGAATGAGAGCTGAATGAGAGATGAATGAGGGATGAATGAGAGATGAATGAGAGATGAATGAGAGATGAATGAGGGATGAATGAGAGATGAATGAGAGATGAATGAGGGATGAATGAGAGATGAATGAGGGATGAATGAGGGATGACTGAGATGAATGAGGGATAAATGAGAGATGAATGAGGGATGAATGAGAGATGAATGAGGGATGAATGAGAGATGAATGAGAGATGAATGAGAGATGAATGAGAGATGAATGAGAGATGAATGAGGGATGAATGAGAGATGAATGAGGGATGACTGAGATGAATGAGGGATAAATGAGAGATGAATGAGGGATGAATGAGAGATGAATGAGGGATGAATGAGGGATGAATGAGAGATGAATGAGAGATGAATGAGAGATGAATGAGAGATGAATGAGAGATGAATGAGGGATGAATGAGAGATGAATGAGGGATGACTGAGATGAATGAGGGATGAATGAGGGATGAATGAGGGATGAATGAGAGATGAATGAGGGATGAATGAGGGATGAATGAGAGATGAATGAGAGATGAATGAGGGATGAATGAGGGATGAATGAGGGATGAATGAGGGATGAATGAGACCCAGCAAAAAAAAAAAAAGTGATGTAATGGTGTTGGTTATATTATGACAGTCATGGTTTGTACATAATCATGCTGTGATCTGAAAAATGAAACTTATTGAGATTATCTGGTTTAACTTGTTAGCAACAGCTTTGTGATCCTACAGCATATGATTATCAGTATTTTTTTTAAATCCAAAATATCTAATAAACATTGTTCTGATCAAAACACTTTCAAATAAAATTATTTAGAAACACATCAATAATCAGTCTGTGAATCTCAACAATGGTGACAATAATAATGCATGTTGCAGTGGCTACCACTAATCACAACTCATTAATGGCTCCCATCATGCATTGCGGTATGAATAAATTATGATCTGAATTGTCTATGTAATTTACTTTTCCTAATTGAATATTCTGCTCATCACCATTGTTGAGATGCATTGACTGAATCTTGATATCTGTGTGTGCCTAAAGTAAAATTTTTTTTTTTTTTTTAAGAAATCCTTTATATTATATTACAAATTCTGGATATGTATGCAGAATCTCAGTTAAACTGTAACCAATAGCATAAATCACAAACAATTAGCTCAAATGCTGAATATAATAATATAAACAATACCATTAGATCATTGTTTTTCTTTGTTCATCTTGTAGGTATAACTCGGATACAACAGCTGAAAAAAATCTAAAGTTAATAATCTAAGGGTCAAGAGCCCAACTAAAGCAAACACTCATCTCCATAATGGTGACCTGAAATTCCGGTTTTCTTCTTCAGTGATTCTGCTTCAGTTGTCTTCAATAATGCTCAATCATCACTCAATTAATCACTTAAATATCTCATTAACTTTAACACTCTTGAGTGTGGACTCATATACACTCCCAGGTGTGTTCATTTAACACTGGAGTTTTTGCTGTGTACAAAGAGCCGTAGTTAACTGACAAGCTGAGCCATATCGCATTAAATATCGCTGGCGATACGTCCGCGATATTAATGTGATATGGCTCAGCTTGTCAGTGAACTACGGCTCTTTGTAGTAATTGCCGCTCCATCTGAAAGCAGGTGAAGGCGATTTACTACTAATCAAGGAACCGGCTTTACTGACGAGATGCGCATAACAATATCGTGCGATATACCGCCCAGCCCTGAGGCACACACAGAGATTAGCCCAGTGGTTCTCAACTCCAGTCCTCGCGACCCACTGCCCTGCGTATTGTGTATGTCTCCCTTATTTAACACACCTGATTCAGATCCTCAGCTCGTTAGGATAGACTCTGAGTTAGGGCTGGGCGATAAATCGCATGATATTGTTATGCGCATCTCGTCAGTAAAGCCGGTTCCTTGATTAGTAGTAAATCGCCTTCACCTGCTTTCAGATGGAGCGGCATTTACTACAAAGAGCCGTAGTTAACTGACAAGCTGAGCCATATCACACTAATATCGTGGACGTATCGCCAGCGATATTTAATGCGATATGGCTCAGCTTGTCAGTTAACTACGGCTCTTTGTACACAGCAAAAACTCCAGTGTTAAATTAACACTCCTGGGAGTATATATGAGTCCACACTCAAGAGCAGGGGTGCCCAATCCTGCTCCTGGCGATCGACTGTCCTGCACAGTTCATCTCCAACCCTAATCAAACACACCTGCCTTTAATTTTCAAGTGATCCTGACGTGCTCTGAAGACCTTAATTGGTTGCTTCAGGTGTGTTTGATTAGGGTTGGAGATGAACTGTGCAGGACAGTCGATCGCCAGGAGCAGGATTGGGCACCCCTGCTCAAGAGTGTTAAAGTTAATGAGATATTTAAGTGATTAATTGAGTGATGATTGAGCATCTAAAGAAGGAGAAAATCTCAAATTGTAAGCCACCGTTATGGCGATCATTGTTTGCTTTAGTTGGGCTCTTGACCCTTATATTATTAACTTTAGATTTTGTTTGGGTGTTGTATCTGAGTTATACCTGCCAGATGAACAAAGAAAAAAAGTGATCTAATGGTGTTGGTTAAATTATGACAATCATCATTTGATCTTTATGTTTGTGATTTATGCTGTTGGTTACAGAATAACTGTGATTCTGCATAAATATCCAGAATTTTAGATATAAGGTAAAGGTATTCTTAAAAAGTTGTTTTTAAAAAAATCTTTCTATTAGGCACACACAAACGTCAAGATTCAATCAATGCATCTCAACAATGGTTGACAAGCAGAATATGCAATTAGGAAAAGTAAATTACATAGACAATTCAGATCATAATTTATTCATACCGCAATGCATGATGGGAGCCATTAATGAGTTGTGATTGGTGGTAGCCACTGCAACATGCATTATTATTGTCACCATTGTTGAGATTCACAGACTGATTATTGAGGGATGAATGAGGGATGAATGAGAGATGAATGAGGGATGAATGAGGAATGAATGAGAGATGAATGAGGGATGAAAGAGAGATGAATGAGGGATGAATGAGAGATGAATGAGGGATGAATGAGAGATGAATGAGGGATGAATGAGCACTGTAAAAAAATAAAATCGTAAAAAAACGATCAATGACTGGCAGCTACGGCTGCCAAACAAAAACCTTAAAAATAAAGTAAAATATCCTAATTTAAATTGAGTGCAAAAACCTTTTCCAAATTTTGTCCTTAAATGTTTTACAGAAAAACACTGTTATTTTACAGTTATTTCCTGAATTATTATGATCAAATACCTTCACTGTGAAAAAAAGGTAAAATGACTGTCAGCAATGGCTGCCATACAAAAACCATAAAATGAATGTAAAATATCCTAATTTAAATAATAAATACTATTGCAGAAATCTTCATTAAGCTTTTTAACAGAAACACAGTTCTTTCATATATATATATATACTGAATTTTTACTAAAAAACATATTCACTGTAAAAAGTAAATATCTTGTTATAAACTACACGCATGATTTGCTGATTATATGTCATCAGCAACTACACAGTTCCTGTCTGTTAAATAAAGCAACACACGGGATTTCATCAGTGTTTCTCTGCTCATCCTGGACTGAAGCTCAGGCTCTACTCTTCAACACAATGGTGACACACAAAACACACCATTCAGAAACACTTTACATCCCAGCAGAACATTAAACACTAACAGATCTCTCAAGATCTCAGCATCTTCACTTATTACAAGCCAGACTTCTTTCATACTAACATTCCTATTGAGAAATAACAGAGGTTTAGAAGTTGATATTTTATTGAAAATAATAAAGTTTGATGTCACCATGATAGAGGTCGGTGTTGGCTTTAGTTGGGCTCTTGACCCTTCATATGTTAACATTAGTTTTTCTCTTAACTGTGCATGTCTTTGATGCATATTTGTTATTGTAGGAAATCGAGAGAAACTCAGATCAGATGATGTTGATCACTTAATAGTGATAATATTCATCAAGCAGTTGTCTGCTGTATTGATACCACCTGATTGGACTTTTTAATGACTGAATAAGTTGTAAAATGTTAATTGTTAATTTAGAATGCCAGTATTGCTATAGAAGATCCTACAATGTTTTGATATAAGATTTTATGAAGACATTATGCAAAAATTGTTTTGACAGGATCATACAGACTCACTCAGCCATCAAGAATTAGCGTATGAATCTCATCAATGGTGACAATGAAAAAAAAAAATTCTGACCTATTATAAAGTCACAAAAAGGCTTTGTTGATTGTCACCATTGTTGAGATTCATATGTTGATTCTTGATGTCTCTATACTCCTAACAAAATAAACCAACTCCAAAAAATGTAGGTAGAATATATAATTTTTTTAATTTGAGATTGCATTAATACTGATCCCACAATATTTCAACAAATCATGTGAAAAAAAGTATGATAATAACTGCCTTTGTATAACACTAAAGTCTATCTATATATAATGTATTCACAGCCAATAGAGATTTGACTGTCAAATCAATGAATCTCATCTTCATATGATGACTATAAAATCATCAATAAATGACCAAGATCATATAATATTGTCTCTTGCAATTATTGCCATAATAAATATGCATCAAAACACAGTTAAAGCAGCCAGAGAAAAAGTAATGTTGAAACTCAAGAGTCATGAGCCCAACTAAAGCAAACACTGATCTCAATCATGGTGACATCACATTTCTATTAAAGTTTTTTACACTTTATTCAAATTAGGATATTTTACTTTAATTATATGTTTTTTGTTTGGCAGCCGTAGCTGCCAGTCATTTGACCTTTTTTTACGATTTTTTTACAATGAAGGTATATGATCATAATAATGCAGGAAATACCTGTCAAATAACAGTGTGTTTTTGTTTTATTTGAATTAGAAGATTTTACTTTAATTGTATGGTTTTTGTTTGGCAGCCGTAGATGCCAGTCATTTGACCCTTTTTTTAAGATTTTTTTTTTCCACTGAAGGTATATGATTGTTATTTTACAGGTATATCCTGAATTATCACAGTGTTTTTCAGTTTATTTAATTTAGGATTTTTTACTTTAATGTTACAGTTTTTTGGGGGCTGCTAGTCATTTGACCGTTTTATAATTTAACTGTTTTGTTACTGTTTAATTACAGATTATATTTGTAATTTTACATACAATTTTATGTAATTTAAGAAAACAGAAAAAATACTGTATGAAAAATACAATCAATTTCCTGTATAAAAAATGTGAATTACTGCAATTTGTCATTAATGTCACAATACCTAAAATAACAGCTGAATTTTTATTTGACAGATATTATTTGTAATTTTACAGTGTTTTGAGTACAATTTAAAATGTAAGAAAATGATCGTCAAAAAAATCACACTTATTTTCTGTAAAATTAGGAATTTTTTTTACAGTGAGGGATGAATGAGATGAATGAGGGATGAATGAGGGATGAATGAGGGATGAAAGAGAGATGAATGAGGGATGAATGAGGGATGAATGAGGGATGAATGAGAGATGAATGAGAGATGAATGAGGGATGAATGAGAGATGAATGAGAGATGAATGAGGGATGAATGAGAGATGAATGAGGGATGAATGAGAGATGAATGAGAGATGAATGAGAGATGAATGAGAGATGAATGAGAGATGAATGAGAGATGAATGAGGGATGAATGAGGGATGAATGAGAGATGAATGAGAGATGAATGAGGGATGAATGAGAGATGAATGAGAGATGAATGAGGGATGAATGAGAGATGAATGAGGGATGAATGAGAGATGAATGAGAGATGAATGAGGGATGAATGAGAGATGAATGAGAGATGAATGAGGGATGAATGAGAGATGAATGAGAGATGAATGAGGGATGAATGAGGGATGAAAGAGAGATGCTGATGAACTGAACTACTGTACAGTGAATGACAGACACACCTGAGAACAGTCTACAGGTTTCATACATTTCTATAAAAATACTTTTGAGGCAAATATTCATAACCTAACCCTGCATGAAATGTCTGTGAATACATGCAGAATAAGAATAAAAATCCATGTTCAAATTTACCACAGCATATATTAATAAAAAATTAATGACAAGCGGTTTATTAAAAAATATTTATTTTAAAGAATGCTGACACACAAGTAACACATAAAATAATACGTCAAACCCTAAAAACTCCATTGTAGCAATCGATTAACATAAATTAATTGGATGCAACAATATTTTGCTACTGTATTTTTTTTATGGTAAAATACTGGCAACCACAGGAAAAGTTTTTTTTTTTTTTTTTTTTTTTTTTTACAGTTTGTTTTTATTTGTTTTTTACACAATGTATTTTACTGGTAGAGTAAATATTGTATTCTTCTAACACAAGCACACATCTATCCAATGTACAGAGCGGCGTTTCATAAAAGCATCGTAAGCCTATAAGTTGATCATAGAGATTGTGTCGGTTGTTCTACGATCACCTCAGGCTTACGATACTTTTGGGAAACGCAGCCCTGATCTGTAGCCTACATACAGTAGAAAACTTTCAGAAAATAAGCCAATAGAGACACAGTGTGTTACATTACCAGGTGAGATGGTCACTGGTGTGACAGTTGTAGGGCTGGTGTTAATGCTGCCAGTGTCTGAGAGTTTGGATGAATTCGGATTAATCAACACAAACACAAATATCATGAATGTGTAGAAAGAGCTCATGTGAATATAATTACCTGCACAGTATGCTAAAGAACAGAGAGTTGGACTGACCAGCTCATAGACATAATAATCTCCTGGACAGGCTTTGACTTTAATGGGAAAAGACTCGAAATAGCAGCAGTAATTGTCATAGTGACCGCAGACATCTCGAGTGACGACTCCATCTGTTACTGTTGGGTGTCCACCACGGATCCACAGTGGGACATCAGTGCCACAGCTGTACTTAGGAACACACGTTTCTGGGATATGAGCGCTAGTGTTGTTAATGAAGAGACGATACCAGCCGCTCCAGGAGACAGACTGGTCACACTTGTAGGAGGAGTAGGAGGAGTAGGTGTGTGTATTATTGAAAAATCTCCATGTATCATTCAGCTCAGTGTAGTTGTAGCAGGCGTCTGTAGAGAGATTAGATGTTATGAAAATATATTAGGAAATTAACAAGTTTCTGAAAAACATGTTTTATTATAAAATGTAACCAGAAGTGCAGCTTGAGACTTTTTTTCTTTCTTTTTTTGTGCTAATTCGGAGCATGATTTTGATCCACAATTATTTTTTTAAATGCATTTATAGGATTATTTAAATATCAATGCGTCTGAGACAAGAAAAAGACAAACATGTAAATTGGAAGTAAACACGTTAGATACACATACCAGTCCAACAATGTACATATTTTTGTAAAGACTTTATTTAATTCCATTTTCTTGGACTAGAAATTGCCGTTTCTAACATTTACAGGTTCCGCTTGAATCCTGGGTCATAAACTAATTTTAAAGTAACAATCTGACATTTAGTTTCCTCAACATTTTATATGAAAAAAGTGTCTATGCAGCATGTGTAGTGTTTTATTCCAGTATGTACACTGTATCAGTGGTTTGATCGGGTCTGACTCTAAACTAGCAATGAATACTAAAATTTCATCTTTGAATACACTCAAAAAAATAAATTGTTAAATGAACGTGATTTAATCGTAGCACCCATTATGCATCTAATCAAATCAAGTAAACTTGAACTACTTTGAATGTTTTATATGGACACAATATACATTTGTAGATTCAACATGATTGTAATATGTCAATGTAACTTCTTTACAACTAATTGAATCAAAATGTTTGTATTGTGTTAGTCTAATCAAATTTATTCTTATCCACGCAATGTCAGTAAAGCACTTCAATTCAACAAAATTCTGCCTTGTTACATAATGTCTTGTTTTGGTAGTTGATTGAGCATTATTGAAGACACCTGATGTTAACAAGCAGAATCACTGAAGGAGAAAACCATAATTTTAAGTCACCGTTATGGAGATCAGTGTTTGCTTTAGTTGGGCTCTTGACCCTTAAAACATTATCTTTAGAATTTGTTAGGCTGCTGTTACTGAGTTTTAACAGCTAGAAGAACAAATGGTCATGGTGATCTACATGTATTATTGCCTCCAAAGCTATACCTAAAATATAAAAAAATAGGAGAAGATAACTACCTTGTGTGCATGTGTGACAGGTTAAGTATTTTTAATTACTTTTCTTGCCTTATCAGAAGTAGTTTTCCATTTTTAATGGTTCTGTGTATTTTAATTGAGAAGACCCGCCCACTGGTGTTGAACCACGGCTTGATATTGAGCACACCTGTGGCTCAATCATGGAGGTGCGTCATGTTTTTAGTGGTGTGATAAAAAGCCTGTAAGTGTAGCATGGTCAGTCTTCTCCGTTCTGTGTTGTAACGGGTTACCCGTTTCTATTTCCAGTGGCTTTCCCTGGTGAGTCCGTCGATTTTATTTCTTTTTTTATCTTAGCCGTAGTAGATCACGAGGTAAATATGTGTTTGTCATCAGGAACGTGTGCGTGAAATGGCGAGCGCAGGTAGCATAAAGCTCACTGTAGTCTAAATTTCACCTATGAGGTAAGAAACTTTATTGTGGGTTTTCTCATTCTTTGAGGGGGGAAATATTTTGTAATTGATGCACTGTGCTTTTATTGTATTCCTATTGCAGGTGCGGCCCAGAGCGCTAGCTGCTGTTTTGTTTTGTGTATTTTTTATTATTATATTTATTTTGTCACTGTTTCATGGTCTTAGTGCATCTGACGACTGCGGATATTGCGGTTTTGAACCGCTAACGATCGAGCTCTTCAACGAGCTGCTCGTAAGAAATGTTGAAAGACTGACGGAGCCTAATTTATGTTCGATGGGCTATTAAGTTATAGTACCCTGATAGGCTGGTAGCCTGGTCCATGTAAAGCAGCACAAACAATATTAACATTAGTCTTAATTGAGAAGTGAAATATGATGTTACTGTGACTGAGTGTTGTAATTATTTTCTTTTCATTAAATCTATTTGCCAGTTCTATTCGCTGGTGGCTAGAAGCTTAACATGGCTGTGATTGAGGCTTAACAGAAGGGGGAGTGTATTTGTTTTCTTTTGGTATTCTCTTTATTTGGTGTGACACGTGTTTTACGTTGTGTTTACTCTGATTTGCTGTGTTTTTCCCTTCTGTTAAAGTGGTCAAATTGTGCACAGCAAAATCACCAGTGTTAAATTAACACTGCTCAGTGTTTATATGAGTCCACACTCAGAGAGAGTTAAATGAACACTGAAGCAGTGCTAAAGTTAATGAGATAATTAAGTGATTAATTGAGTGATAATTGAGCATTATCGAAGACACCTGATGTTAACAAGCAGAATCACTGAAGAAGAAAATCGTAATTGGTATGTTACCATTATGGAGATCAGTGTTTGCTTTAGTTGGGCTCTTGATCCTTAATTCTTTAACTTCAGTTCTTTGTTTGGCTGCTGTACCTCAGTTATAACAGCCAGATGAACAAAGAGAAAAGGTGATTTGATGGTGTTGGTGGTGTTTTAACATTATCATTATCTCACAATCATTTGACCTGAATAGAGCCCGATTTCTGAGTTACATTTACTTTATTGATTATAGCAGCACTGTCCTTGAAAATCATAGTATTTGCAACTTTTACAATGTAATCCAAATAATTTCTTAAAACTTAATCACATACAAAACTTTTTTTTCTTTTTTAAACAGACATTAAGAACCAGACTCTCAACAATGGTGACAATTCTAAACCATTTTGCAGTGTATTCTGGATGCCACCAATCAAATCTCATTCATGGCTCCCATCATGCATTGCTGCATGAATTAATAATGAGCTTATGTTCAGAGGTCATCTGTTTGTCACCATTGTTGAGATTCATACGCTACTTTTTGATGTCTGTATGTGCCTACCTGAAATACTTTTCAAGGTGTTTTTTTTTTGTAATGATTTGATCATTTGGATTTAATTGAAAAGGCTAAAAAAAATGCATACTCTAAAATGACAGTGCTGCTATAATCCATAAGGTAAACTTAACTCTGAAATTATGCTCTCAATGAGTTCAGTGATTCAGGCCAACTATTGATTATGTTAAAACACAACCAACACCATCATATCACCTTTTCTCTTTGTTCATCAGGCAGGTAAAACTTAGGTATAGCAGCCAAACAAAGAACTAAAGTTATTGATGTAAGGGTCAAGAGCCCAACTAAAGCAAACACTGATCTCCATAATGGTAACATACCAATTACGATTTTCTCCTTCAGTGATTCTGCTTGTTAACATCAGGTGTCGTCGACAATGCTCAATTATCACTCAATTAATTACTTAATTATCTCATTAACTTTAGCACTGCTTCAGTGTTCATTGAACACTCTCTGAGTGTGGACTCATATAAACACTGAGCAGTGTTAATTTAACACTGGTGATTTTGCTGTGTGGTATCTTGTTCCTGTCGGTATTAATTGGTAAGCTGTATTTGAGATCTATCTTGATGTTTTTAAGTGAATTATTTTATTTCCTGTGATAAATAAATAAATTTGGTATATTTTTGGAAAGTCACGTCTCTGTCTTCAGTGCAAACCGAACCAGCAGGGTCCTTCCTTTTGTTGTAATTCTTTTTGGTTTAACTTTCTTTTTGGGTTATTTTTATTACTTTATACTTTCCTGGGTAGAGACGGAACCTAGGTGGCGTAGTCGGGTATTTTTATACTTAACCAAGGGTTACACATGCTTCTTCTATCCTGTTATAAATATTCCCAAATTTTGGTTGACAATCTTCATGCACGTGTACTCTGTCTTGTAGCTGACTGGGAATTGGGAACCAGTCAGCCTGAACTAGCCATGATGAGCTGAGGGAAGATTATGTAATGGGGAGCTCTGTTACAGAGGAGAATGTGCTTTATATTCAGAAACGCATCACTAATAAGCCGGAGTCAATGAGCCTGACAGGGTTCAAGTTTAGCCAAAAAAAAGCTTGGAAACTGTGGTAACTTTCATATTTTTAATTCATTTGAGCAAGTGTCTTAATATAGACTGGCAGGTTTGTAATTCCCTGCTGGAAAAAACAGCTAAAGCTGGTAGCTATGTTTTTGAACACGGTATCTGGTAATTAGCTGGTCTAAGATGGTTGTTAGCTGGTCCAAGCTGGTCATTAGGTGGTCAACCAGTTACCATGTTACTTAATCAAGTACCGTATTACCAGCCGGTAGCTGGTTTGCTGCTGTTAATTATGCTAAAGTCCAAACTAAGCTAGTCATCATTTTTCATGGTGATCTGATGGTGTTGGTTGTGTTTTAACATAATCATTATTTCACAAGCATTTGTCCTGAATCACTGAACTTTAGACTTTAGCAACTTTATTAATCCCGCAAGGGGCAATTAGTTAAGAGCAGCATGCATGTATACAACAATACATAACACAGATCACACACATTTCTCACCACATAAAGACAGTCAATGTGTGCGCTTTAAAAAAAAAAAAAAAAAAAAAAAACCCTACACAGAGTTTAAAAGTTTGATCGCAGAAGGGATAAAAGATTTAGAGTGGCGGTTCGTCTTACTCACAGGAAGCTCATAACGACACCCAGAAGGCAACAGAGAAAATTCACCTGACAAAGCATGTCCTGGAGAGGCTAAGATACTCGCTGCCTTCCGAACTATTTGTTGGTTACAGAAGACATTAAGGTCTCTCCGTTTCACACCAATAATTTTCAGAACAGATTTTTACAATATTGTTCAGGCTATTCCTGTCTTTAACTGTCAGATTGGGAAACCAACAGATTCGGTTTAATATAAGTTCAGTGATTCAGGTCAAATGATTGTGAAATAATGATTATGTTAAAACACAACCAACACCATCAGATGACCTTTGTTTATTGTTCATCTGGCTGTTATAACTCATGTACAGCAAACAAACAAAATCTAAAGTTAATAAGTTAATGGTCAAGAGCCCAACTAAAACACACACTTATCTCCATAATGGTGACTTAAACATTCCGGTTTTCTCCTTCAGAGATTCTGCTTGTTAACATCAGGTGTCTTCAATAATGCTCAGTCATCACTCAGTTATTCA